TCATTGCATCAGTATGTAGAATGATAAGAACTGAAACAAGATATAAACAGGGGCAGCTCTGCAAGGCTGAGCTTTGGGGTAATTGCTAATGTCAGCATGCTAACATGCCAATGTTAAGAAGGTATCATTTTTATGGGGTGTTGCTTTTGGGGTGTTGTTCATGAGTGAGGGTAAAATGACGCATGAGATGGATAGGTGGTTTGATGCGGGAATTGCCCCAGACTGTCATGGTGAAGAAGGGGCTGAGCCAGAAGGCAAAGCTTTCGATTTACTGGTCCATTTACGTCCCAACCCTCACCTACAATCATAAGCTTTGGGTCATGACCAAAAGATGTTGATCATAGATACAAGCGGCCGAAATTAGTTTCCTCCGTGGGGTGTCTGGGCGCAGCCTTAGAGATAGGGTAAGGAGCTCAGACATCCGGGGGGAACTCAGAGTAGAGCCGCTGCTCCTTTGTGTTGAGGGCGGCCAGTTGAGGTGGTTTGGACATCTGATCAGGATCCTCCTGGGTGCCTCCTGTTACAGGTGTAACACACTGGACACACTGGAGGGATTACATATCTCATCTGGCCTGGGAACGCCTTGGGGTCCCCCAGGAGGAGCTGGAAAGTGTCGCTGGGGAGAGGGACGTCTGGAGTGTTTTGCTCAGCCTGCTGCCCCCGTGAACAGGCCCCTGGATGGCTACCACAATATCAACACTGACCATCACTTACTGATTTACTATTTTTTAGTATATAAAATTGGTTAAATAGTTCGGGTCCATGTCATTGGTCCGACAGCCCACTGGTCCAACATCCCATTAGTCCGACGGTCCGCAGTGCTGAATGGCTCCCGGCGGGTGTATTTCTGCCTTGATGGTGCACCACGACCGGCTCTGGGTCAGCTAGGAAAGGCTTGAGGCGAAGCAGGCTGATGGCTTATGTGTTTGCCACTTTCTTTTTCATTTTAACCCACACCATGATCTTTTCCTGACCCTAACCAAGTGGTTTTTGTGCCTAAACCTAACCAGATCTTAACCACAGGGCATCATGATGATTTCGGAACGGGCTTCGGAACAATGGGTTTAATATGGTCGGAACAATGGGATGTCGGACCAATGGGCAGTTCCCAAATAGTTCCATTGCAGAGGTCTGCGCAGTGCATTGATTCACTCAGCCCCTCGCCCCACTCTTGTTCTGTTTATCAGACCACAAAGGACTCGTGAATTAGCTAGCTAGCTCGCCAACTAGCTAGCCATCCCACAGTCTCTTCGCCTCTACAATCAGTAGGACACCCTTCACCGGGAGGAGACCAGGCATAAGCTCCAGAGACTGACCTTCAGTAGCGACTGTAGCAATCTGATATCAGCTGGCGCAAAGCTAGATATCTCAACTGTGACACAGCAGCAACAGAAAGTTTGCTGATATTGCAGGGAGTTTATGCTGAGCTGGTTGAGTTTGAGTTGCTGTTGGAGCAGCTAAAAGTCTGTCCTCGGACCGTCCTCCCTTGTCTGCTTTCTTGCTTCAGCTTTATTTTTCTTGAAACGGATATGACATCATGTTAATTGTGGGTAACAACAATAAATGCAGCAACTTCTTTCAACCTTCGCATTTGAATATATTAAATCAAGCATTAAGAATGTATTAAACAATTGTAAAAAGAAAAAGCTTGATAGTCAAGTGAATTGATTTTTCCCCACCCTTTACAAGTACAGCTGAGGCTGATTTGAATGTTTCGTGTCAGTGGGTTTCATCCTCTGAGGACCACAAACACAATCTATCCAATAGCTGTTGAGATATTTCAGTCTTACTCAAAGTTCTGGACCAACCAGATGACACTGCCATCCCTAGAGACATGACACTAGCATGGCTAAAATTAAAATGCATACATGTAACTCTCCTTGCAATTCCCTCTGCAGACAGAGGTGAAGTCAGCACCTGGCAGGCAGTTGTATGAAAATCCCATCCATGGAAACTGGATCTGCGATGACCTATTTGTTGAGTGGGCTGATAATATGTCACAACGAGGCAACAAGGAGGGGGGGGGGGGGCATGGAAATTAAACATCTGAAACTACAGTAATAATTCATCACACTAATGGTTTTGTGTAGACACATTGTTGGCTGTGTGTGGACATTCTGTTTGCTTCACACGGGAAATGTTCCTGTGCTAATAAGCAACATATATTTTTAGGATTAATCTAAATCATGTGGTTTACATTGTGCAGATTTTTCCAGGTTAACAAGAAAAAAGGTTGCTGAAGAAGCCCCAGCTGCACACTAATGATACTTTCTGTGCCCTGTGGCAAAAACTTGACGAGGTCCAGTTTGTCCTCCTTCAAAGCCGACATGTGTCTACATCATAGCTGTGCAGATAGGGCAGCTAATCTTAAGTGGTATCACGCATACATCCAGGGCACTTGGAGGCCACCCAGTGCACCAATCCTGGATGAATTCCCAGAATTAAAGGTGCACGTACATAAATAGCACAAGAGCGTAAATCTCTGGAAGTCTAGGATTTATTTATACAAGCAACAAAGACTTCACGGCAGCTCCTGAGAACAGAAGAAAGCTGCCAAGGATATCACACACAAGAACAAAAGGTCTTCAATGCATTTGGTTCAAATGGATTTTTTTTCAGCTTCCATAAGGGAACTGAAGTGTGACATGTGTGGCATGAGGGAAACAATCACATGCAGACTTGTGAGCTATTTCCATGAGTGAGTACACAACCAGCTGGCTCGCCGGTCATGGATGCAAGTCATCAAAACTGGTGATCAAATGAGTATTAACCACATTACTTCCTGCACAGGGAAGAGCCACTCCCGCCTCTGCCATCGGCTAACCAACATGAGTAGGAGTGTGTATATGTGTGTGTGAAGGGGGGTTTGCTCAGGAAGTGGACACAGTGCAACCGAGCAGAAGGAAGGAAGATGCCCATATATGAGCAGATGAAACAGGATGGAGTGCATGCCTGAAGAGGCCTGGGTGGGATCTCCCTTGGGTGCGACAATAATGTAGGAAATGTGTAAACCTCCTCCTACACACCCTGGCACTCAAAAGCTGCACTGAGCCCAAACTTTCATTCAAACTGACACTCCAGTAAACAGCCCACCTGAATCTTAAAATGAAGTCTGGATAAGATTCATTATTTGCCACCCAACACAAGCTGCTGGCCGCCGGTGGTACCAGTGTTGGGTCCATTAACTGAGAGCAGGTTTCTGTTTCTGCCGGCTGTGCAGGATTGTCCTGCAGCCAATTAGCAACACACCTGCACGCTAGCAAAAAGAGCCTTTGTTTAACACCTGCACACGTCTGGAGCACTTTTCACTCTCACGTTTAATCAGAAGCCATGTTCATGCAGTCAAACACGCCTTGTTCTCTCCAAAAGCAGCTGGGAAGCCCTAAATTGATTTGTTGCATTTTTTCCCTGTTCCCACCATGTTGACTGATCTACTTCTTAGTGACACTACATTTAGTTCTATTCAGCTATCCACTGGCGTAGGTTTCATCTCAACGTTGGTGGGCATGCATATGAAAAGAGGGGTTTGGGTGGCCTTCACCAGAAAACTTTGAGCATCTATAACTCTTATCTTTAATGCACTAATTTGTGCCTTTTTGACACCAATTTGTGGGGTAAATGTGATTTATTTTGTCACAATAAAAGTTCTTTGCTACTTTCATGTTTGTATTGGGGGTGGAGGGGGACAAATGCACATGTTGTAACATACTGATATGATTCTCGCCCTAATAAATCTACTGCCACTCCCAATCTCCCACATATTTCCCCATATGGAAAGGAGCTCTGCTGTGCTATGCTCATATATCACTATGTACAGAATATCCTTTGCACGAAGAACTGTATGTGTTATTATTAACACATGTATAGGTGATTAAGACATCGCAATGCAGTGATGAGCCATTGTGTTTTAAGCAACATTTGCCACCACAGTTCTTCACACATGAAATCAGAACAAAACTGCACAAAGAAGCACACGCCCACACTGAACACCGCTGGGTACTGTGAATAGAAATGAAAAGATAATTCCCTTTTTACTGTTCACTGCAATGCTGTGGACAAGTACAGACAAAGAAAGAGGTTTTTGGATAGTATAACAAAGGTAGTGATTTGACCAACCTGAGGAACAGAGAGCTCTCACTGCCTGATACTGCCATCACGTGGAGGAAATGTATTACTACAGCATAGGAAAGGAAGTCACTTCATTGTACAGTAGTTTAATGTCTCTTTCATGCCCACTGAACACTATTAATTCTAAATGTTTTTTTCTGTAGTGATATATTAAAGCTTAAAACCTAAAATTGAAATTTATGTTCAGTTTTATTTTGTGTTTAGTAGTGTTTTTTAACCAAGCAATATAATTTCAATTTAATTTTTTCTAAAAGTATATATTTCTTTTCACTGCTTAATTTTTATTTTGAGTTTACGATAATAAAACTGCTGTACACACATCTATTTCCTGTCTTTTTGCCCAGGAAGAGGGATCCCTGCTAAGTTGCATTCATTTTTCCATGCTAAAGGGTTTTTTGGGGGAGTTTTTCCTTCTCTGAATCAGTTGTCTCAGGACAGAGGGTGTCGTGTGCTGTACAGATTGTAAAGTCCCTTGAGGTAAATTTGTGATATTGGGCTTTACTAGTAAAACTGACTTGACTTAAAATGAAATGAAAAGCCATTTTCTTCTGACACATCGGATTTCGAACAAGGATACTTCTACATCAATCTCAAAATAGTTGGGCAGGACAGACAAACTCCTGCACACTGTCTAACTAAAATTTAAAAACTGCCAGCAATGCCAAAAATGTGAAAGCCTAAGCTCTGTAAACCCTGTTTTTATCACCAGGGGGCAGCACCTTGCAGGCAGTTAACAGAGTCTAGCTGGAGATATGACAGACTTATGGGGACTGGGTGTGATTAATAATGGATAGAATGCTGAAGCAATGTTTGCAACCTGATCCTTCTCTAAATTACAGTAAAAGCTGTGGACGCTGGGGACAAAAACTGACCTGTGTGGGAAAAGATCTCAAGGAGCATGTATCGGGGTCCCAGTCTCTGTGACCAGCATAAATCTGGAAAGAAAAGAAAATGTTGAAATTACTAAGTAGCCATGACAGCTCACCAAACGGTTTTCAACACCAGAGAGTCAGATTTTGTGGTGAGCATGGGAGCGAGGGGTGGTGGATGTGTGTTTGACCTCAGATTTGTGTGAATATATTAAATTGTTTACGTATTAGTGCTCTCAGCAGAGGGCAACCGTGAGAGCACAATGAATACCAGTCCACAAACACCAGCTCCCTCGTCATTTAGGGAAAACGTTTAGCCCTGGCATGCCAAATCTGCTGTGGGAGAAGACACTCCAGCCTCTGCTCTGTTTGCATTCATTACCGCATTCCAGTGAAACCAGTTAATGGCCAGTCCTTTGGTGGAGGCAGGGTTTGCTGGTGCGAACTAGGCAGCAGACACTTCAAAACACTGTTTAGTTTTTTCTACTGTTAACTTGCTTTCAGCAGTCACCTTTCTTCTCATTTAAAGACCTACACTTTGCCCCACAAAGAATAACACAATCGATCAGTCAGAAACAGGCCTGGGATTTCATCATTTCAGTGGCAAGATCATTAGGCCTGCAGTGGGGCAATTTTTTTGAGGGCACTAATGCCACATGTCAGGACATCAAGGCTGTAAGTTAAAAACACAATTATGATTTCACTTAAACAGACAAATCAACTTTTAGTAAGTAAATTAAATTTGTTTATATAGCACTTTTTGCAGACATAGGCCAAGGGCACTATACAACAAGAAAGGAAACATAGAAGACAAAGTGACTATGTGAGCAACGAAGTTAAAAGAGCACAACTATTTGCACAGTTAAAAGAAAATCACAATACCAACAATACACAAAATATGAATAAAGTCCAACTCTGGTGCACACAAGTTACACTAACACCTGTCTAAACAGGTGTGTCTTTAGCTGGCTTTAAAAGAAACCACAAATTCAGCAGACTGTAAGGGAGCAGGCAGAGCAGTCCAAAATGTGGGCACTACAGCCACAAAAGCTCGATCACCAATGCCTTCTTAAAAACATTGTAACACAAAACAATTTTTATCAAAAGAATAATTTAATTCAGAATGTTAAGCCTTTTTTAAACAAGTTTTAACATCATCTGGATGCGGTCTGATGAGGCACATGATATGAGTATATATATGGTGACTTATATTTACATCACGTCTATAAGCATATATGTGGGAGGCAGACATATACACTGTATGTAGGTTACATATTTTGTCATATATCAGATTTATGTATGGGATGATTCCCTACAGAGAAACAGTCATAACATCATCTCCATCTCACTTCCCTCTCACTTCTACTGAGAGCTGTACATGCCTGTCAGACACTTCAGAGCAAAAGCTCTTTTACACTTGGATTTTTATTGGTCACACCACAGGTGTTGATTAAAATGCAATCTGACGCTCTATACTAAAATAAGGTACGACAGAACTTTATATTGAGAGGAGTTACTGTGCAGTAGTTACAATACAAAGTTTCACTTTCACTACAGTCTGCAGCTCTGAGAGTGTGGTGCTCTAAATAACCAAACAGCATATACCAACAGTGCTCCGTACAAACAATCCAGTTTGTGCCACAGTGCGATCTAGTGCTCGGATCTGCTATTTATGAATGCACCCAACCCTTGACCAATCAAGTACATGTACTAACATTCTGTTACCAGGGCAGACTTGACAGGAGAGCACAGACAGGGAGGGCAAAGAAAGAAATTAAAGCATACGATTTTCAGAAGTGCTTCAATGCCAACAGAGGGGTAACAAGGAGCCATGGCACTTGTGGTTGCTGTGAAGTTTCTGCTCTGGTCAGGCAGCATTAAAGGGATAGTGCACCCAAAAATGAAAATTCAGCCATTATCTACTCACCCATATGCCGATGGAGGCCCTGGTGAAGTTTTAGAGTCCTCACATCCCTTGCGGAGATCGGCGGGGGGAACGGCCAGCACACCTAATGGCATACGGTGCCCCAGACTAATGTCCAAGAACACAAAATTGAATCCACAAAGTACCTCCATACTGCTCATCCGTAGTGATCCAAGTGTCCTGAAGCCGCAACATAAAAAGTTGTTTCGAAAAACATCATATGAACTCTGTTTTTAGCCTCACTGTAGCCTGTAGCTCTGACTGCTTCTCTGTGCTCCGCATTCACGTGTGCGCACTCAGGGTGAACGGTGATGCACGGTCTCTGAAGAGTAACAGTCTCGTCAGTACTGATGTCCAGATTCTCAAGTGCAGGCATCGCCAATTCCCAGTCTGAGCAACAAAGACTTTCCTCATCCGTTGGCATTGCTTTGCATTTGAAACAACTACACCACCAGGTTTCCAGTGCTCGACTCCGGTATTCTGCGGCTGGCTGAGGCTCATGAGCTGCGGCAGCTCGGGCTCAAACAAATACAGCTCAAAGAAATGCTGTTCCTCTTCAATTTAAAAGTCTTCAGACATGTAGGGCTGTCCTTTGCTAAAAGACCGTAGTACAAATTATCTTTTAGCTCTGTGGTTACTGTTGTTTTCCCCTGCGGTGCACGCGTCACGTGATGTAAACATGGGTGAGCAAAGCTCATGCTTTCGCTGGTCTCGCGCAGGTGCGCACACACGTGAGCGCGGAGCACAGAGAAGCAGTCAGAACTACAGGCTACAGTGAGGCTAAAAACAGAGTTCATATGACGTTTTTCAAAACAACTTATTATGTCGAGGCTGCAGCACACTTGGATCACTAAGGATGAGCAAAATGGAAATAATATGTGGATTCAATTTTGTGTTCTTGGACGTTAGTCTGGGGCGCCGTCTGCCATTAAGTGTGCTGGCCGCTCCCCCCGCCGATCTTCGCAAGGGATGTGAGGACTCTAAAACTTCACCAGGGCCTCCATCAGCATATGGGTGAGTCGATAATGGCTGAATTTTCATTTTTGGGTGCACTATCCCTTTAAGAGGTTGTTTGATATACCAACTGACAATGCTTCATACTGTATGTTCTCATGAATTAAAGCAGCAGTTATTCATTTGTGGCCACTTGGGGGTAGCAGAGCAAACTAAGAACAAAGCTCTGACATAATTTTGTCACAGGAATATTGTTAGCAAACAGGGCCTATTTACACACCCGGCAAACACAGAACATTAGCATTCATTTGAAGTCATGTTTGTGATCACCTGATGAATGTAAGTCTATTTACTCTCCTGTTAAAGAACTACTGAAGGAAATGTGGCTCTATAGCTGCTAAATGCTCCACTGTTCACCTGTTAGACGTGTCTGTCTGCTCTTTGGTTGTGTACAGTGGGTTTATCAGAGTGTTTTCAAACATGAAAACTGTGGCTGGAAACAGGGTGGATGAGAGCGGCAAGAGTGAACCAAAGCAATGAGCTGAATAGCGGCGTAAATATAGACAGTGGGGACAGTGCGGTTGCATTAGGGGCCCATAGGGTGGAGGGGCCTGAAGAGAAAGCGGGATTGTGCAGTGATTATTAGTGGATAATTTGTATGATGATGATGTCCAATTTAATTAAAAATTCAATTCACAATTTTATTCACAAAAACAGAAACAGAAAAAGTACATGTTCAATTCATAAGACATAATGGAGATGTGAAATGAAACACGCTTTTAAGGTATCAAAAGCTTGAGAATAGGGGCCCGGACATGAAGCAAACTATATTTAAAATGTGTTTATGGACATAAGACATTAACATTTCTAACCTACAGAACTCCTACAACTAACCAAAACCTAGAGACTAAAGTAACCTGATGTTAACTACTAAATGGTCCCAAGACATTTATTCCAACAGTCTAAACAGTGCTTTGATAGGTAAGACAACATACACAGAAACACATGGCAAGTACAATGTAAATGGATATGAGTGTTTAGAAGTCCCCAGCTGTTATGGGTGTCAGGTCTCTATTGGTGTCAAGACAATACATGCATGATAGCGTACACTAGGAACTGTCATACTAGTGTGCACTGGGGCCCGCTGTAACTGCCTTACACCACTGAAGCTGAATAACTCTGAGCTGAGGGGAACTGCAGAGTCCAGGGATCACTGTCTGTGGGTTTGTCACTATTATACAAATGTTGATTAGTGCCTAAATATTGATTAGCCTATGTATCTGAATTGTTATAAAGTTATATTACATATAAAAACATTACCAGAGTAACTGTTGATCTGTTAAACTGACACTCAGAGGTCTGTTATCGTACAACGCTGAAACCAAAGATGTTTTATTACCTGCTGTGTTCCAGTTGCTAAGCAACCTCCTTCTTCCTCATCTAGTTTATAATTTACTGTCCAGTTTCAGTGCAGGGTGATTGAAAGAGGGAATAATTATGACATCATTTTAAAGCTTTACAGAATGAGTATTTACAAATCTGTGCTGTACAAAAACACACACTTATCTAGACTTACTACGTGTGATGTCAGTAAAGCAATAACACCTTACCTCGTCCCTCAGGAGTTACACCCTTACAGTTACGGTTCATTCGTTCATTTGTACATCTATTTGTTAAAAGGTAATTTTGTATCTTAAATATCTGTGGGGAAAAACCATTTGGTATCAGTACTGAAGCTCAGAAAAAGCATCTTAACAAGTGCCTATTTTTCAAACAACACCCAGTCCTATATGCCATACAAAGTCATGGCACAGAAAGAAAATAAAACTCCTGGAATGCAAATACCTTTTTCTTGCTTCTCACTTATGATACATATTCAAATGTGGAACAATTGTTTATTATGATGTAGCAGATAAAGATACCGTGAAACGTTCTTTATGTTTCAAGAATGCTGTGGCTAATTTGTAATTATGTTGAGGCATAAAAGCAACTTGGTTATTGTTAGGAAAAGATCATGTTTTGGCCTTAACCCCCACATTTGATGGCACATTGGAGATGTAGCAACAGGTTGCGAAAAAACACCCACATTTGGTGGCACACACTATGCTGGCAAGGAAGTGCTAAAAACCTTCCACATTTAATGGTATAGACAAGGCTAGAAATGCAGTGAGTGGGAATTAAAAAATAC